AGATGCTGACTCAAAATTAGAGATACTGAATTAGGGTAAAAGCTTTGCAAAATAAAACAACCCTAAACAAACAAACAAACAAACAAAAAAAAAAGGGCCCAAAACAACAAAGACTCTTCAGTCATCATCTTCAAGCTACAAGATCAGACTCCCTCAACCCCTCTCAGGGCTATCTCTTCATACGCTACCTTTGAGCAGTCAGTCTTCTTGTACCAGGATAAATGTGTGCATGCTGTTTTTACCCCATTTTCTCCCACTTCTACATCTATGTCCATGGAAGTCTTACACAGACCTATGTCAGAGCACCAGCTGTTTCCCTCAAATTGCCTACCGGTGGTTCCTGCTTTAATGAGAAACCCAGCCAGAAGCAGAGGTGCAGATGGGATGACGCTCGGGTAGTGTTGCCACAGTGGTCTGATCATGCGTTGCTTACAGAGCATCGGATCCCTCAAGGGTCCCTCTGGCAGCCCAGTTCCCGCAGTGGTGACAGGGGGGGCAGACCAGCCAGAGCCAGCTGGTACATTTGATACTGAAGATTTCAGTGTGACAGGATTTAGTAAATGAAAACTCAGCTAGCAATCATCAGGAGAGAGATTATTTGACACAGGAGAAAGCCTGTCCCCTGCGTCAGCTTGCTCTTTAACTGAATACTTTTGCTCTCTTTCATTTTCTTAGAGGGGGGGGCAGGTAGGAAGAAGGATGTAGTGAGAAGGGGAACATGTTACAAATGTTCACTGAACCGAACATAAATTTGGCCAAGTTACTGCCAAAGTGAGCGGGTTTTTGATGTCACCCTTAGGTAGATAACTAGGTAGAACAGACTTGAAAACATATCGGGGAGAATCCCAGCTTCAGACAAGCTGCAGGAACGTGCCAGCTTTCACTGGGTCATGGGCTGCTTTTCCAGGATAAGAACAATTGAGGACTGACTATGTTTCTTGGATTTTACTTGCTCTTATTTGAAACGTGCACTTCAAGCATTGACTGCATAGTCAATAGTTAACTTCAAATGAAGTAGAAAATGTGCCCTTCTAGTTAGATATAGACCATTGAAATTCTATGCAGTACATAGGTAATAACATTTTTTTAAAAGTAGAAGGAAATGTATACAATAGGTGTGGCTTTCTCAGTGGATTTTTTTATGTTTTTATATGCCTAATTCAATCCGAAATAAAATATCAGTCAACCAGTAGTCTCTGGGAGGGGAGGAACATTTGAGAAATGGGCAGACTCTATAGAACCAGCTTAACAGACGGACTTTGAATTTTTGGCAACAGAGGTGGGTAGCTGTAGACTGGAACCAAACCTTTTCTGCCAACATTAGTGAATAGTACTGAAACCTCATGCAAAATAGGACAAGACAGACTCTTGACATTTTCCTTACAACTGTTGCTTTTTAAATCGCTGCCTTTGCATGCAAAAGTTTGTTGGATTCATCCATTATTCATGTCCCAGAAATTTGATAGAGGTCTCATATATTCCTTCTAAGAGGATAAAGCCAGCTGCAGCACCAAATTGTAAAGATGTGGTTACTGGCTAAATGTTATTTAGTGTATTACTTGGTATTCCTCTGAATCTTTTGGGTGGAAATTTAAAAATGCTTGTCCTCTCTGATTTTAGTGAACATTAGAGACAGCGCACAATTATTCATAAGGAAGGGCTCAAGGGGTTGTTACTGGGCCCTCTAGCAAAGATTTCATCTCGCTAGTGACAATATAATGTGTTACAGAAGATTTTGTGTAGAAGTAGCTCTGGATCTTGGTGCCTGCCTTTTTTGAGAAGTGCTTTAGGAATATCACTTACTTCAACTAACCTGTTCAGGCACCTACCAGATCGTACTCAGCCTGAAAGTATTGCGTGCTTTTTTTCTGTTACCTCTAAAAGAAGGGTCAGCAATGTCAGTGACTTTGTGTTAATCACATTTGATGGATAGCTAACTTCTTATACTGTGACTATTTTCAATATTATTACTGTCTAGTCCTGGGTGGTTTTTGTTGACAAGCTACACAAATCTTTGTAGAGATACACTCTGTTGTGTGTGAAACAAGCATGGAATACTAATGCTACTGATGAAGTTTTGTTATTGATTTTTGTTCACACAAAACGTGCACAAAATAGAGTCAGATAAAAAAAAATGGAGACCTTGCCCTGGTTTATATTTTTTTTCTTTATGAGAGATTTAATTGGAAATCTAACAGGAAATTAGACTGGAAGATTACCAACTGCATGGCTGGCATGCCATGAAAGATCAAGTGCCTGTGTCTTTCATATTATACCCAAAGCAGCTTTATCAAGTATCTGGGATTTCTGGTGGATTTAAGGATATCAAATATAACATCAGCAGCTTCAGTAGCAAAAATACTCTCGGATATGTGGGATAGAAAAGCTATACAAGTTCTCGTATAATGTTTGGAAGTTGAGGATGAAGAACCTTTTGCATTGTCATCGTAAAGTGAAAAAGGTGTAAGAAAGCTACAGAAGCTAAATCATCTGTACACAACCCTACTGACTGCTCATTTCCTAAGGATCTTTCCATAGAAGCATTTAGGAGGATTGCTTTTTCAGGGCTAGCCTCTAGAGAATTTCATCATGTCAAGCAGCCATTCCACAGGAGTATAAATTAATGGCAACATATCTCTTACAAAAATCCCTTTTGGATTTTGCCAGTTTACCTTACCTGGTACACAGTGTGTCTCTGGAGAAAATTACTCAGAAGTATCTACTTGGCTATCATTTGTTCATACAAAAGAGTTCAGAGGTCAGCCTGTAAAACCAGGGAGAAAGAACAGTGCTCAAGTCTTTCTCTCTGTCCTACTTCAGTGGAAAACAGGGCCAAAGTCACATGGAGCTAGTTTCACTGGCTTGAGGACAGTGCTCAGCAAAGATTGTCTCTCTGTAGAGGGATCATAGTGCCGTGCCTCTTGACAGATGTGATTTGTTAAAGCCACGTTTATCCCAGGGACCGTGGCAGAATTGGATTATCATCCTCCACACACTCTGGTATTCAGTAGTTGTGCAAGCCAGGAAGGAAGCACTTGTGCTTGTGAAACTGTGCTGGAAATAATTCAGCTGTTTACATCTGATGATAAGCTTTTAAACCAGACTACCTGAAATTGGTTAGCTGTTTAAATTGAAGCTGCCAGGAATACTTCACTGTTGACAAAAGAAAAAAATGGGGGGAAAGTCATGATCAAGGAACCCTCCATATGGCATTATCTATTACTGGCAACAGCAACAGGGACATTCAGCGTCTTTAGAAAGTTTAAATGAAAATATTATAACTCGGTATACACTTTGACATAGATTACAACATCATCACAAGAGACAGCTACACTTGACTATTCCTTTCAGAGGCCACAGTCTTTTCCACAAATTGTTTGAGTACAGTTTTATACACCCAGTAGTTGTTTCGGCATCTGCAGATTAAATATAATTTGAACTCTTATTGATACAATAGATAGAATTATTTATACCCCAGAAAAGCTTGTATATAGCAACTGCAGGTATTCCATATCTAACACATGGTATTTTCAGGAAGGGACAAACTGGAGCAAGACAGATGAAAGCATTTGGAGCCTCAGGTCAGAACACATTGCAAGAGAGAGATTTAGCAGATATCAAGGATGGAGAAGTTGGTATTTTCTACAGCTGTTTGCTATCATGTTGACAGTGCTGCTTTCAAAAATGAAGCACATCTCACAGAGTGGAAGAGAACTGTAGGAAAAGTGCTTATTTCTGCTATGAGGATGTGGTTTCTTTTGAAGGCAATGGGAATTGCTTGCTTAGATGGTCTTAGGAAGAGAAAAAAAAAGTCAAAAGACTTAAACCAAAAGACTAAGCTTAAATTTGAAATGGAAAGACTTCACCAAGATTACCCATTGATACTCTGCCTGGTTTGTTCATTCAGAAAAAGCTGTATTAGAACTGCCGTGTAAGTGGATAGACTGAGATTTGGAGGGTGGCTTGGAGAGATGTTCCTGGCTGGCCTCATTGTCATGGCCCTGTCAGCACACATCAGCTGTAACCCATAGGAGCTAAATACTTGTGAAAACAAGTCATATTTCATCCTTCATGCTTTTTGAATCAAATCTTGTTTTAAAAGTTTGCTGAGTGTATCAGATGATTGATGCTGTCACACTGCAGATAAAATTTGTCATTCTGTCATTTTATTCAATATTTTAGAAGCATTTTGATGCAAACTGGAATTTGAAGCAGTTACACATTTTTTCCTATGGTTCACCTTAGTTATAAAAACAATTCATCTAATTCTCAGTGATTCATTAGCAGACATTTCCTAAATACAGACCTAGAATGAATTAGTAGGTTAGTTGAATCTCAATATGTCTTGAGATACATGTGCTGTATTTCTTTTTAAATATGCTACAAGGCGATATAAACGAATATAGTATCAGACATTGTGAAATACATGAAAGGAGAACAGATATGTTTAGTCATGTGCGTATCTGGCTTAGTTTCATAATAAGGATGGTATCTGCTATTCACAACAACTACATGGGATGTAGTGAAAAGCTCATTACCCTGAAAAAAAAGTTTAAGCTCCTGAAATTTCAGCATGTAATAATGTCAGAGTTTTTACCTGTGCAGATGGCCTACAAGGACTGTACTTTGCTCACTTCAGGACTAAGGCCTCAAAGTGGCATTTAAATGGTCTTGTATCATCCACGATTATTATCAGGTCATAAAATTACTCTAGAATGCAAAGAGACTGAATTCTGGTATAGCAGGAGTTCCATTATATACTTTAGAAATAGGTATTTGCCTTAATACTTGACTTGAACTTAACTGTCTGTATGAAATGATGAAGTCATCTGTGTCACAAGTAACAAGTTACTGCTGCTAAACCTACAGTTATAAGGTCCAATTTAAGCTGAAAACAATGAGAGTGGAACTTGCTTATTCCTTCAGAAACCAGCTGCAGAACATTGTTTTTGATACACTTCAGCTGTGCTACATTATTTAATCTTTCTGTGTTTCAACAGGCTTTGAATAGGGGCATTGCTGCTGTCAAGGAAGATGCTGTGGAAATGCTGGCCAGCTATGGGCTGGCCTACTCCCTGATGAAGTTCTTCACGGGTCCGATGAGTGACTTCAAAAATGTAGGCCTGGTGTTTGTGAACAGCAAGCGAGACAGGACCAAAGCAGTTTTGTGCATGGTTGTGGCTGGTGCTGTAGCTGCTATATTTCATACCTTAATAGGTAAGGTCACTTCACGTCTAATTAACATGTCTTTTCATTTTTTTTCCCTTGCCTGTTCTTCAAACTGATGAACCTGTAAGCTTAAGATTTCATTTTTAAGTACAACAGGAGATGAAAAAGAGATTCAGTCTCTTGGGCTGGTATCACGCCTATCTACACAATTTTTATTACTTTTTAAACAGGCAGATTCCACCTCCAGGGCATGCCTACCTGGTGGCTCACTGTGATGTTGCTTGCTTTCAGTCAGGTGTCTGAGCAAAACTTTGGCTAAGTTGACAGGTTGCATGAAGATGACAGCTCAGTCTTACTGTCAGGTAGTGACCAGCAGTTAACAGTATCTCCCCAAATGGGGTTAGCAGGACTTCAAGGTGTGCTTGGTAGGTCTGTTTGTCAGAAGAGTGTCCTCCCTACATTTGTCAGTGTACTCCCTCGGTACTTCTTTTGCTACTTACCTCACAGTACAAAACTCTAAGCAAGTAGGTGCCAGCATCCTCGTTGAAATATCAGATATTACCCTGTACTAGTACTAGTCATCATCCACTTCTGTTGAATAACTAATCTGTAAGAGAAGAAGTAGTTACTAAAAACACTTTATGCCAAACTGAGACCAGCTCCCCAAGTGAAGTCTGAAGCAAAGAAAATACACAAGCAGATATGAACTGAAGATAAAAAGTAAAGCAGCCACAGGATTTGCCAGTTCCTAAGAGCCTGGAGAAATGTGGTATCAACACAAGCATCAGCCAGTACCACAACAATAAAAAGGCATGTGGCCTGGAAGACTAACTTCATCCCCTCCAAGAACTGCTCCAGATTCCCGGCACCTTCTGGCTCATTCCACAGAGCTGAAGCCTCTGGACCTCAGCAACAAGGAATAGGAGACGCTGGAGGAAGAAGCAAAGAGTGCATTGCATTCAACAGGTACGATCCTAAAAGCTGGGAGCTCTAAGGGATGGGAGGAGGGAGGTAATGCAGTAGCCTACGGAGGCATGTGTCGGTTGACAAACAGTAGGGCTGAGTTGGATGACTAGCAGTAGGGGGTCATTCCATCACAGAAAGATGGGAAACATGAGTGTGATGGCAGTATCCAGAATTGAGATGAAGTGTATGGAGTGGCCTGGAAGTGAGGCACTATCCATTATCAGGCTGTTAGGATCTCAAGAGCAGCACATGCTGCTGGTCAGCATGTAGTTCCTGCCCAAGTAGGTACAAGAGCCATCTGGTAAATGCAAATGCCCACTGATCTTAACCTTTAACATGTTCACCAGCTTTATGTGCCTCCCAAACGCTCCAGTATGTTTGACCATCACGTGTCTTACTCCACCACTGATACAGCAGTTCTATGGTGTTTACCTTTACCCTATGTTACTACCATAATAAATGCTTGTAGTAACGGCTCACTAGCTGTGCCAGGGATAAGCTTTTGCTGATTTTATAAGCTGAATCCATGCATTCAAGTTAATTTATTTACCAGTATCAATTGTTCACTTCTTCAGTATGTTTACAGTTGAGGCTGCTTTATTGAGTCAGTATTATAAACTTTGGGCCATTTGTATGTTTGGCTCTCGTATTTCTTTGCCTGGAATGTTTCTTCAGCCCCCAGAGCTGCTCTTCTAGTTGCTCACTTGTTTCCCTGCCAGTGCTGGTCAAAGTTTTTGGCTTTGCCAGCTGGATATAGAAGTGTTTTCTACTCATCCAACAATTTATTTTAAGCTATAATAGATGTTAAGAAAATTTAAGTTAAAGCTATCAAATTTCCAGGTGAAAGATGTAGCTGGATTTACCATGTGGGACATTTTATTGAAGGGGTATGTTTGGGGCAGCCATTTGAAAAACAGGCCAGAGAAGTTTCTTGCCTTTGCCTGGAAATAGAACCCAGCTGAATTTAGAACCTCTGAAATGCCCTTTCTGCAGATATTGGGAAAAAAAGCAAAAAGAAGGCTGTACTTACCATGTTTTAAAGTCCTGAATTAAAGGGCTTCACACAATCTTTCAGCTGCTTATGGTGGCAGACTGCAAAATATTTTTTAGTATTTTAACTTGTCTATGCCTGAAAATATGCAAAGGCCACAGCAGAGACTGGCAGAGCGCCTAAGAGAATGGAGTTAGTCAGATTCTAGCACCAATTGCCTGGGTGATGTTGCCAAGTTTTGTGTTCCAAGTTTCCTTTGAACATGTTTCAAATCCTGATTATTCTTCTCTGACCCACAGATGCACAACCTGCCTAGCAGGAGGAAGAGAAGGAGTCCAGTGACAGACAGGCAGCCTCCTAGGACCTGCAACTACTCCCCAGCAGCTGCAAGCTGATCACAGACTATCTACAGGAGACAAAAACACAGGTTACTGATGCTCAGCATATGAAAAACAGAAACAAATAGCACCCAGGGGACTGAATTTCTTCCACATGCCATGTGTGTGGGGCTAAGGAAGATGACATGACTGTCTGCCGTGGGCTGTCAAAGCCCAGGAAGGAACAGGGAACAAAAAGCCCAATGAAATAAGGAGGAGTACTGAAAGTCAGAAGGAAGAAAACAAGTGGTGGTAGAAACACAGTGACCACAATGAATCACCACATTTCCAACTGTGATAGAGACTATTTGCAGTCTGCACACACAGCTCCTCACAAACAGCAGCCTCTACGCATTTAAAATATCAAAACAGGTCATTTCACCCACCTGACTCATGCTTCAGTGCTTCGACACCAGCTCCCCACTGCCGCTCCCTGACAGGGGCTAACGCAATGCTCTGTGGGAGTGACTGGCTGAGCCAAACCACTCCAACTCACAGTTGTAAGCTCTGGATCCCTAAGGTATCACCTCACCACATTTCCATGAGCGTCCGCAAAGTCCTCAGCAGTTCCTATCACTCCCCTGTACAGGTAGCAGTAAGACCCAAGAAATGAGTTGGCTTGACCCAAATTGATTTGAAATCGTATTCTCATCCCACTTACAATGCTGCTGCTTACCTTGGTCAGAACACGATTCCTGCATTTGCTGTTTCAGTTGTCATCTGGAAATAGAAGACAGAATGCTGCCTTCCTTCCCTTGTGCTATACTGGGGGCAGCCACTGCTACCAGTTAGGGTTTTCTAGTGGGCAGTTCGCCAGGGTATAAAGCATCCCGTTTGGCTTTTGCTGGGAATTTGTGGCTACAAGAAAAGGGATTCAAGATGCAAGCCTATTTATATATTTTGGCTTCTTACAAAATTGCCACCTTGACAGAGGAGAGAATTCATTTATATAATATTATGCTAACATAATGCATTTCATGGTGTTGCTGGTAAACCCTCCATACTAAGTGGGTCCCTTTAACAGCAGTGTCATGACAGACACACACTTTTTCTTTGACATTAGAACAGCATTGTTCAGCCCTTCTTTGGTTTACTGAGAAAACTTATTTCCTTCTGCATATTAATATTACTTTGCACAGCTCTCTCAGGTTCTGGAAATGACAAGGTGGAAGTTACTCTGGGGAAGCATCTTTGCTTAAATAGACATCCTTAAGTGGTGCCCACAACACCTGATTAAAAACTGCATGATGGGTCATTTGTCATTACCAGGAAAAAAAGGTTAGAACTGTAGTAACCAGGCAAGCCTACAGCAGACTGGATGGTCAAGACATGCCAGTGATTTGGTTTGTCCCAGTTTATTACCGGTAGGCTAGTGGGCATGGGTTGCTCTCTGCACAGATTGCACGGGGAAATCTTTAGCAGTTGCTAGGAATTCCACTGATTTTTTTGAATTTCCTACATTTACGGTCACTGCATGTACATGAAAGATCTGCATAAGAAGTGTGCCATAGGTGTAATCCCACCACTGCCAATGTAACGCTTCTGAAATTTTCTAGAGATAGGGAGTTACAGAGTGGCTTATGACAACCTGAGCTATTCTCTCCAGTCAGTTTTGTTCTGAAATGTCCACTCTACTGGCTCGTACTAAACATTTTGCCCTGGAAAAAGATGATAGCACAGGAACACAAATCAGAATATAATGCAGTCTTTCTTTTTTTTTTTTTTTTTCTAAAAGATGATAAAATTTTATTCATTAAAAATGTATCCTACTTCAACATCTTCAGATGGCAGTAACGTAGTTCTCCACCTGCCCCAGCCCTTCCCCCACAACAGGGGTGGTTTCTTATCAGCAAAGCATTCAGGGCAAAAGAACAAGGAAGAAAGCCTATGACCAAAGCATTTGTGGATTTTAGGATAGCAATGATTGGGTTTTAGTTCAAAAAGGGCTAATTTTGAGACTTATGAGATGTTGGCCTTCCTAAAAGTATTTCAGAGACCATTGGTCGTTGTTAAATTTGGGAAAATCAACTAATGCAATTTTGTAAGTAGAGCTGAACACAGAAAAATATGATTGCAGTAATGAATCTGCATTAAGGTGCTCGTAAGCTGTTGTGTTTTTTTTTAATTCATTTATTACTATAAGCAAAAAAATCACAAAGCCTAAAACACTGATCATCTGGGCTTTTACCAAAAGGGACACAGGCTTTTCTTCTGCTTTTAGTCAGGCTAATCAAAGACATAAAGAAATCTATGTATGTACCCTGTGCCGTCTCCAAATGAAGATTTGCCATGCAGTTTTGGGGAGAAGTTATTGTTTGGGGTTTTTTTGCAAATTGGCATTTTTCTGTCTGCCCAAATCACTTAGCTGAACAAAATCTTGATCAGCACCAGTTTTGGCCATGTAAGCCGTCTTTCTGACAAGCAGCAGAATAGATTTTTACTTCTCAAGTCTCTAAGTTGATTTTTAAAACTGGCAGCAAAGTATGAAAATGGAATGCCTCTAAAAAGAACAAACTTTAACCCAAACCCAATTTTTTTTCCTCCAGCAAAGCTAATATTGACATATCTAGCTCTGTGTCTGGAGGTAAATGGTATCACTTCCTATGAGGGTTTCTTTTTGTTTTCTTTATGATGTGAGTACAACATGCTGGGTAGCAGACGGCTCCAAAATGATGATGGTACTGCTGGCATCATTAAAATTGTGTTCAGTTGTTTCAAGAATGTCTGAAGTTTATGTGGTAGTAATTGGGTTGCTAGATAAGTTGGCGTAGGGAAGTGGAGATCCAATTAGGTATGCAGTGTTTCATTGTCATTTCTTAAACTTCTGGGTCTTAAAACTCAACTGGAAAAGAAAAAAGCAAGAATTCCTGCTTAAATGCTGCAGAAAAACTAATCCATAGACATATCAAAATAAATGAGGCATTAGAGGAGAGCAAACAGGCAGCTTGTCTTGGAGTTGGACTTCACTGTTTTGGTTGAAATGATGCAAGAAATGGGAAGAGCCATCTGCTTTAGTTTCATGTAATACTCTTCAGCTCTGTTATTAATTTTGTATCACGCTTCATAATAAGTTTGTAAGGTTGGCCAAGGTTAACTTCTAATTGCATCAGCAATTGCTTTATTCACAGCTCAGAGACACATGCCTGTATATTTGTCAGTAAATCTCAGCTTGCTGAATCCTTCTTTCTCAGGATGGAAACATTCATTGACATAAGCAAAAGTGATTGTGTGTTTTCACTGACATGGGGAAGAAAATAGTTGACTGTTTTAAAACTATCTTTTGAGTTTAGCCATTAACAGTTTTAAAATCAAAATCATATTATAAAATGCAGTTAGACTGTTTTTGGATGAGGGAGGAATAAAAAAATCTTATAGCTTACAGAGCACAGTACTGATATCCCTAGAAATCTTAAAAATGTGGTGTTGTGGGCTGTGGTGGTACAACTGCCTGGAGAGCATCCTGCCAATAAACCACAACCCTGTGGTGAACTGTCTGTTCCTACAAGTGAGCGTAGTTCAGCCTCTGTACCCTCTGATTCTGTAATTTTCCTGTGACGGTAGACTTTCAAATAAAAAAAAAAGAATTTAAATATCTCAGTGGCTTTTAGAGCCAAAAAATTACTTATTACTCACTTTCTAAACAGTTTAAAAGTTTCCTTTAAAGCAGGAGAAGCCCAGCGGGTGAAGTGCATGGAGAGCACAGAGGGTGACCTCTGCAGTGTGCTGTCTTCCCAGCGCTGCACTGCTGCTGGAGACCTCTCCACAGGAGCAGGTTCCTCAGTACCTGGACTCTGATTCTACCAGTCACCATGTGGGGAATTACACTGCTGTGTTTCCTGCAGCAGTTTTTAGGGTTTTGTACAGAAGAAGTGTCAAGCAACTTCAGTGGGACCAAAGAGACAGGTCAATGAATCTGACCCTCACAGGTGGCTTGCCTTGTACACCTTCCAGACTTCCTCTCCTTCATTCAAATAAGTCGATTCAGAAATATCTGTGTACTGCCTTGCCTTAAAAGCAGCTTTCCACAAGGATTTATCATGCAAAAATCCATGCATAACAGAGAGCTTTCAAAATACTGAACAAAAATTGATGTTATGGACATTCATGCAAAAATAAAAAGAGGCTGTGCTTGATGTGTGACTGGACTGTTACAAACACATGGACGCTTAAAGAACTAAACTGGCCTCCCTGGACTTGGGACAGGTTGGAATCCTGTTATGAAGATTTTCCCTAATTCTGTTCAAAAAGAAACAAGGTTGTCCCCGGGAGGATAGCTAAGCAACTTGGGGATTACTGGGTAAACTGGTAGTCTGTCAGTCCCTTATATTTCAGATGAAAGACATATAGATGGGGACCAGCATAGGGAAAGGGAGTTTTTAATAGTTTAGCATCTTTTTGCCAGTCCTGGTTATCTGGAGTGAGGCTCATGCCCCTTCCCAGTCCTGTCATAGCACCTTCTTTTTTGCTACCTTGTTTACTCTCGCTTGTTCTGACTGGAGAGTCTTTTCAGTCCTGTTAACTATTTAACTGCTGTATCCCTAAGCCATCATAAAACAATGATGACTTAAACTCCTCTTTAATTGCTTCCAAACAATGTTTATGAGTTGTGAGAGTTAGTTTTAGGCTAAAAAGATTGAATTGAACAGCTGGTGTTAATATTTGTCAATCCGATTGTGTGACCTGCATGCATGAAAAGAATGAGTTTCCTGAAATACCCTGTATGAAGGTCTGTACAATGATAATAGTAGAGTTGCTATAAATGGAAAATCAGATAGATGTTCACATCCAAAATAATTACCAACGAGAAGACACAAGTGGAAGAGAACTGAGGTAAGATTCCCCAGGCACAAGTGATTCTGCTGTTATTTGTGTTGAGCGGTTACTTTACAACCTAATTATTCTTCTAACAGTTATTACAAGCATATAGAGGAAACTACATAATAATATACAGGTCTAGAATATGGTTTATAAAAGGTTAAAAGCTATTTGGATTATTTAACTGTGCATGTTATTTAAGTCCCCATAGTTCAGAGACTCCATTCATAGCTAGCTCTTCATTATTCCCGGTCATGGGGAGGACTCTGGGGTTATTAAAACAGCTGGATAACGTGGGTGCTAACAGAAACGTAAGCAGTTCTTTAGAGAGATGTGTGGTGAGTCCCTATGTTTGTACTGTCTTCAACCCAACACCTCGGGAAGAGAGACCTGGGAAGAGGCATGTTGCCCAGCTCTGACCATCTGGGGTTGAAACAGGATGGCAAAATAACATACTGGCGATTGGAAGTGGGAAGCCCCTGATTTCCAGTGGTGCCCGTTTCTGGCTTGTGGCTCCAGATAGGAAGGGAACTAAAGCTGGTTAAGGCTGCCCAGAGACTGTACAGTGAACTACACAGTGCCCGGACAGGTCCCAGCAGAGGTGATCATTAGGCAGAGTAAGGAAGAGGTATAACGTGTGGTTTGTTGTGTGCCTTCGCAATTCATAGTATCCTTTTATAGCTTTGGGGAGGTTTAGAGGTAATGTCATGAGAACTCAGTGACAGTAGATGGTTTCAGCATTTGTACTACAGTCCATGAAATACACAATGCCTGGTGAAAACAGCTTTTTGAACAAAGAATCTTGAGTTTATGAAAGAGCAGTAGATTTTCTGGAGTACCAGTGTGTTCATTTAGCAAACAGATGTGCACTTACTATACCCATCTCCCAACCCAGCCATTTGTTATCACTCCTCTGCCAAAGGTTACTTGAAAAAGAACTATGAGAGCACTCTTTACTCATAAACAGCAGCTGGTGAGGCTGTAATATCCTAAAGTCCCTGCAGCTGTTTGCTAAGTGGATGCGTGTCCAACCTTCTAAGATGTCACAGTCTTTCAGGTACTTCCGAGTATCTTACCCAGAGTCCATATATAACCTTTATTATTCATTCCTATTCTTCTGTCTCTACAGCATATAGTGATTTGGGGTATTACATTATTAATAAGCTGCACCACGTGGATGAATCAGTGGGAAGTAAAACTCGGAGGGCCTTCCTTTATCTTGCTGCCTTCCCTTTTATGGATGCCATGGTGAGTGCCTGATTCAGAACTGAATCTTAATATGAATGGGTTTTGAGGTTGGGTTTTTTTTTCTGATTTTAGTTTGCAAAGTATGTTACCTGATGGGAAACTCTATATGTGTGTCCTTTGCAAGCATTAGTTCTGGGTATAACTGGGCTCATCGTCTCCTGCTACCTGGAAAAAGCCTCTGGGTGGACTCTGAACATCCAGAGATCATGATAAATGTGAAAAACCTCAGCTGCCTTGTTAGAGCATGCATGCTGGAAAGCGTCGGTCATCTTCTTATGAGCTGCACCATTTGTCTGTCTGTGTCCTCTCATTCCAATTTGTAGTGAAAGAGTTGGATTTGCCTTGCATTCCAAGACCACCTGCAGAGCTCACAAGGAATAAGCTTGATATTTTCTCAAAGCAAATTTGTTGAAGAGATATTTCTTACCATCAGTTTTTGCAAGCACAGCTAAATGTAGTATTAAGCAAGAGAGCCAAGCATGGCATGGGCTGCTGCTGCCCAGCTCACTGCTTGTGGCCTGCACAACATAAAAATATGGCAGCTCTCTTTAATGCCTCTGCTTCTGTGTAAAACTCATGAAGGATAACCTCATGGCATGCCTCCATCACTTTCTCTACCACTTTATCTGCTTGAAACAGGAGCTGAAAATAAAAAGAAGATGGATCATTAGGTTTTCTTTTCCAGACAGGACTCGGTATAATTCAGTGGGCCAATTAATATTACACTTCAGAGGGGCATCCAACCGGTGAATGAGAAGAAACACTTTTTCCCTCAGATTATTTAATATGATAATCCATCCTGTGCAGCATGCTTTTTATGCAAAGGGGGCAGTTTCTTATTAGATCTGCTCAGAAATTTCTGGAGTCTGTTAAATTATTCCCATTCTCCGTGTCAGTCCTGGCAATGAGGAAATGAAGGCAGCAGTGCTGCTGGTGGGAAAAGAGCTTTCTAAGTTGTTTGTGTACAATGTAACAACCAGAAAACAGCATTCTAGGACCCTGAAATCTTTCATTAATATCGTAATCATTTCCCAAACTCTTGTCTGCCTTTTTTTCAGGCATGGACCCATGCTGGGATTCTGCTGAAACACAAGTACAGTTTCCTAGTGGGATGTGCCTCCATCTCAGATGTCATAGCTCAGGTAATGATTCCTTTTAGCAATCACTGTTCCCATTTTGTTACGGACTAGATGCTTTCCTAAGCAGAAACTCTTCTGTCCAGAGACTGTCTTCTCTCTCTACTGTGAATGACACACCAGAGGAAGTAATCTTGTGTGTTCTTTTCTGGTTGTTTCCCCATCATGTGGAGGCTGTTTGCAGACAGTTGTGGTTTTGGCTAGTCTGGCTTGACTGGATCAAGTCAATCCCAAAGCAATGTCAAGAGAAGGGAACCAGGATTATTTGGGTTAGGGCCACGTCTTCCAGCACCTCCACCTGAGAAACAAGCTATATATACATGTGTATATCTGGGAAAAAGAAAGATCAGGCAAAGAAACTGATGGCTTTTACCAATCCTGAGGCTGATGGAGTGCTTTGAAAGAGACCTTTCTCCTCTGGGTGCATTCTCCCCCACACTTCGCACAGTTGCACTGAAATCCTCTGTGGGGCTTGAAGGCTTGATTCTCCAGTTCACCTGCCAGTTTTGCACGTGCTGTCTAATCAAGTGAAATGCAGTTGTGTAAGCCATCTTCTGAGTGCCAGTATGGCACTGTTCTTGTTACTGGTACAAAAGGTGAAGGCTCAGAACTGCATCAGAAGGGATCTGGCTGATGCAGAGAAGACCAACTGTTGTTTGAACTTTCATTTGTGAGGGAGGTGTTAAATATCCTGTTGCTTTGTATTAGATGCGCTTAAAAAACAACATTCATACACATTGCTGATGGCCAGTGTTGTAGCATTCAAGAACCAATATACAGCCCTCTTTTTAAAGCATATATAAAAATATTACGAAATGGAGAGTCCCAGCACCTATAAAACAGTTGCTGTACTGCCCCATTACCAGCTGAATGGTGTAATGACTGGGTAAGAAAGAGGATAATAACAGTACAAGATCAAAGGAAATATAAAGTCAATGGCACTTAGTTCAATTTCCCATAGCATTTTCCTCCCACTAAATATGAGCAAACCATAAACCAAGTTGAACCATTCGGTCAGCTGCTATTCTATGTTTGGCAGATCTGCCCCTCTACAGTACTGCACTAAATCCCTGAAGATAATACCAATTACTGTAAATGACCTTAACTCTCAGGATCTGCTCTTGTTCTAATGTGACCGACAAAGTTTGCTGACCCTAGATACATGCTGGGTCATATACATCTAAATATAGAAATAGTTTTTTACACGTGCTCTTTCCACAATGGTTGGTGAGTGGGGTGCCAGGGTCATGAAGAATAAGACACCTGTCATCTTCTCTCAACAAAATATTGCACAAAGCAAAAGCAAATCTGGTAGACAAAAAGTTGTGATTCTCTACACCCCGGAACTCCCTATACCTGCAGTTGCCCTTACACAAGCAATAGGTTCAAAGGCAGTAGCTAATTCTCTTCGGGTAGGTTCATATACACACTTTTTGTGACTGACCTTGCTTCAGTTTACTGAAAAACAATTCTTTTGTAGGGTTCAAAAGAGCAGTTTTGCAAATCTTCGTAGACAATGCTGCCTGCCTAATAAACATGTGCTCAGTGTGGTTTTTCTTAAGTATTTCTTGATCTCTAGCAGTGAAGGAGAGAACCTGCCCCTGAACAATGTGTCACTCACTTGAATGCCAGGATGTCCTGGCAGGGTTGTCCTTAATTTGTCCAGAACAAAACACAGTTTCATTCCCAGTTGTGTCCCACATCCAGACATATTTGGAATTTAACAGGCACGCCATCGGTTCTGTACTTAATGGAAGAGAATAATATCATATTAAGAAATTCCTTCGCATTTTCTGGATTGTGCATTTAATCTTATGAGACTGAATTGTGAGCTGTTCATTAGCCCAAAAATTTCCGTTTCAGTTACATCTATGTGGCACTCGGACAGCTGAAGAGAAAATGATGAAATACTGAAATTTCACTCAAAAAAAGTAGAAAATTAGGATGGCATAAGACTTCCTCCTTCTAAACGCTGAAGTGAATACTTCAAAACATCTGGCTTTTTAATTGCCACTGTCCCCTCACCCTTCCAAAGAAAAGCAGGGTTTAGAAATGGACCCTAGAAGTTCGTCTCCGGCCTCAGTGTGTACCAGAATAGCACGTTTTCCTGGGAAGGGTGACACTCAGCCACATGCTGGCTGCCAGACCTTGCCAGGCTTTCGTGCTACCCTCCTCCTATTTATGGCTCCCAGTCTGACACCTGCCCATATCTTCAAGTACTGTTTAATAGAGCTTCTGTATGATGTTAACTCTTGTTCTTCTCATTTGTATAAACGAATCCATGGAGAGTCCTGACTAAAGTTTCTAAATGCCACAAGCTTGAAGTCAGGTACTGTAGACACACAAGGTTGTTGATTCAGATGGACTAGCTGGGAGTCAGATGGGAGATATGTTGGCCCTGAAGAATCAGACAGACAAATTACTAATCATTAATTTGCTTGCCCTGCAGGTTGTTTTTGTAGCCATTTTGCTTCACAGTCACTTGGAGTGCAGGGAGCCTCTCCTGATCCCGATCTTGTCTTTATACATGGGAGCACTTGTCCGGTGTACCACGTTATGCCTCGGATACTACAGGAACATACATGATGTCATTCCTGACAGAAGTGGGCCTGAAATGGGGGTATGTCTTAATACTTTGTGGGTTTTTTTTTAATTCAATAATTTTAAAGTTCTTTTTTGTGTTATAAAACTGTATTAAGGCACTGTGCATGAAGGGCCTCCTCTCTCTGTCATGCAGGGGAAAAAAAATCATTTAGAGAGACACAGTAGAAACTATTCCAGCAACACTGCACATAAGGCAATGCTTCAAGTGGTATTGATGTGCTGTCTGCTGAGCACCTCTGTACTGAGCTCTCTCCTTCTCGTCCTGTAAGACAGCACAGAATGAAGTGGACACCTTATTTCACAGGGAAGAAAGTCTCAAAATTGCTCTTTTTCCTGAAATGTTATATTGGTGTTCACATATCTTTGTCTGGTAGCCACAACAAATTCTGCAGATAGATACTTTATGTATTATTTATTGAGACACAGCTTCTTTGGAATCAGTATTGCTAACATGGGTGACAACATTTTAGGCTCCAGCTATTGAAAACACTTGAAATGAATATACCGAAGTGACAGTGTGTGGGAAAAGCAAAAGTCCTTTCTCTGTGCTTCTGGTTGTTCTGTGTGTTTCTTTCCAAAGCCACTTCTTTTTTATTTAACATTTTAACATATTTATTTAACATTTTAACATATTTTTAATGTGTTGCAGGGAGAGGCTACGATAAGGAAGATGCTGAGTTTCTGGTGGCCTTTGGCATTAATTTTGGCAACACAGCGAATAAGTAGGCCCATTGTCAACCTTTTTGTCTCCCGGGACCTGGGTGGCAGCTCTTCAGCCACAGAGGTAAGAAAGTCAGTGCTCCCCATTACTGCAAATGCCATTTACGTTGAGTTGCCTCTGTGTTTTTCCTCTTATCTGTGCTGGTAAGAAAAATTTGTCCTAAGTACATTTCTGTTTAGTGCTCTCTTATCACAGAATCACAGAATGAATCACAGAATGATACGGGGTTGGAAGAGACTGCTGGAGATTGTCTAGTCCAACCCCCCTGCCAAAGCAGGTCCACCAGAGCAGGTTGCACTGGAGAGTATCCAGGCAGGTTTTGAGAGTCTCCAGAGACGGAGACTCCACCACCTCTCTGGGCAACCTGTTCCAGTGCTCTGCCACCCTCAAAGTAAAGAAGTATCTCCTCATGTTTAGATGGAACTTCATATGTTTCAGTTTGTGGCCGTTACCTCTTGTCCTGTCGCTGGGCACCACTGAAAAAAGGCTGGCCCCATCCTCTTGAGACCCACCGTTGAAGTATTTATAGGCATTGATCAGATCCCCCCTCAGCCTTCTCTTCTCCAGACTAAAAAGACCCAAGTCCTTCAGCCTTTCCCCATAGCAGACATGTTCTAGTCCCATCTTTGTAGCCCTCTGCTGTACCCTTTCCAGCAGGTGCCTATCCTTCTTGAACTGGGGAGCCCAGAACTGGACACAGTACTCCAGATGCAGCCTCCCAGGGCCTAGTAGAGAGGGAGGATGACCTGCCTTAACCTGCTGGCCACACTCTTTCTGATGCACCCCAGGATGCCATTGGCCTTCTTGGCCACAAGGGCACATTGCTGGCTCATGGTCATCGTGTTGTCCACCAGGACTCCCAGATCTTTTTCCTCAGAGCTGCTCTCCAGCAGGTCAGCCCCCAACCTGTACTGGTGCATGAGGTTATTCCTCCCCAGGTGCAGCACCCTACACTTGCCCTTGTTGAACTTCAACAGGGGCAAGTTCTTCTTGAAAGAAGAAGGGGCAAGTTCAATCCTTGAAAAGAAGACTGCTTGGACTCTTACCATGTGTGTTTCTGCCAGGCCTAGTGGGACCTCACCCTCAACAAGGCCTGTAGAATTTTTTCACTGAACAGTTCCTGCATCCCAGGTTTTCATGCTCTACATGTAGGTACGTATGCTCAATGGAGCATTGAGATCCCAGAGATTTTAGGAAAGTTGTCCATAGTCCCGTGTTCCACTGTTTCATCTCAGATATATTTATGGGCAAGCAAACTGATGTGAAACAATCCTGCTGTTAGCAGTCAGTGCATCACACAGAATAGAGTACAGGCATAGGAAGCACATTAAAAAAATCTGTCTTCTGGTTGGACTATGAAATGCACTGTTTCTTTTGAGAAATTTCAGATTACTCCAATAGTTTCCTATAGGTGATGGGAGCCAGACTTCTGATCGTGATGCAGAGCCTTCACCAGTGCTCGCCATGAGCTGATCTACTTTCTTAAGAAGTGTGAGGGATCTTTCCTGCCAGTTGTGGTGGGAGAATGTCTAGAGTCATTAGCACATCTCTCATGTGTTTTTTTCCATAGGAAAAACAAAGCTGTAAGGTACTAAATGGAAAGGAAAATTCAAACAGCTGATGCCTAACAAACATTCTGTCGGCACTGCTAATTTGTCATATGCAATACTCTGTATTTCATTCACTCAGAAGTTGCCAGTGACTGCAAACAAACAGCTGTGGAGAGAGAATTTAGAAATGTTAAGGTTCTACATGTGTAAATCAGGGATCAGCCTATGCATTAATAGCAGTCTCAGTACAAGGGGAGCCAGAGTGGGTTAGCAGAAATCAATTTTGCATTTCTTGGTAACTTTTGATTTTAGATGCATCACATTTCATGGCTAGCTTATTGCATTTTGTTGCTGTTAGAATGACTGCAAATGCAGGTTATAGCTGTTTACATGTACATTTTTACATGAACAGTAATGGTCACATTTCAGCTTTCTCTGATTTCTGAAATAATTGCCTCTGAAAAGAGAGGTGCTGGCAACACAGATAACATCAGTGTCTGGAGCATCAGTATAGACAGAAGTTTTATAGGTCCCTTGCTTAATAATGTCAGCAACTTTTAACATGGGGAAGATGTCCCTGTGAAGGGTGAGGCTGTAGCACCTTCATGAGATCAGCAAGTCCACTTGCATTGGACAACTCCCACTGCTTCTCTTTGGACTGCCAGCACAGTTACTGTGATTGGGGTTTCTTTTTTGCTGTTGGCTTTAACAGGGGTCATTTTCACTTAGCAAATACAGGTTCTAGACATTTAGGATAGCTTTCATGCACATGTTTTGGGATCCCACCAATTGAGGAAAAATACTGGAAGAAAAATCACTGCTAAAATCACTTTCCATCTTCATACAGATGGAAATTCTGCTGAAAATACAATAATGGAGGGGAGGTGGGAGTTGCAATTTAAAAGGGTACCGTATTTAAATTCAAATTTGTTTTCTTTGAACCAGTTACTTTTGCAAGGTACATTAAATTTATTAAAGCTCATTTCTGGAATTAAGCGAGTCCTTCTCAGTACAGATGAACACTTTGGCTCTGAGAACTATAAAACTTGGACTGACAGTACATTTCCAAGCAGCTGCAGAAAGAGCTCCCTAAACACCCTTCCTATGTGAAAGACAGGAAATACGTATTATTTGAACTTTTTCTTCAGAAACCAGAAACATCAGCAAAATCTTTCCTATACTAGTATGTAGGAGGGGAGTGTGTGTCTTTAATGTACCTCTTGTACTGTGCTTGTGAAAGTGCAAAAGGGCATAATTTTAAATTGCAGGTAATGAATTGTTTCTTATGATAAAAAAGGGTCATCTGGAATTATTTTTGTCTGATTTTAGTCGATGAGCAACAAAGTGGGGAGAGCTTTATTTTTGTCTCTTAAGTGTCTCCTACCCCAGAGCAGTCGGTTTGATGTCTAAAGTCAGTCAGCCACTGAGGCCTGTTGTTTTGTAGTCTGTCTGTCTGTCTTAAAACTTACAAATAACCAAGTAAAATGTATTTAAATTAAAATCATGCAATACGATTCAAAGCTACTGTGAGCTGCAAGGCATTCTGCTACTCATGTATCTATAGGTAAAATAACTGAGGAACAATGTGGGAGGGAGGCATTCGGCTGGCTGAGGGGCACACACCAGTGCAGGTTAACTATTATCCCTAAATATCAGGGTGATGGTGAAACAAGCTGAGTAACCTACCTTCATGGCACAAAAGATTTCCTAAACTTAAAATGCCAGGCCAAATGATAGCCAATCTTGACGGTCTTCCTGAAACAAAGAGCATCCAGTCGCCTGCCTGGTTTCTCACTGCGTCGAGGTCAATGTGGTGATATTGGTGGGAAATGTCACCCTACGTTAGTTTAACTGCTCTGTTCAAAGGTTTGAACTTCATGTTTCCCTGTCTCCTTTCATAGGCAGTGGCGATTCTGACAGCTACATATCCTGTGGGACACATGCCGTATGGCTGGCTGACAGAGATCAGAGCAGTATACCCTGCTTTTGACAAGGTGAGTGCCCATGTTAGGGGTTTAATAAATACCTTTCATGTGGTTTCACATCCATGGTCCCCCTCTTTCTCTCTGTTACAACATTTTAATTTAGGGGTGGCTTCAGTGATATCAGAGGAATTTCTGACAAATAGGAAGAAAGTTAGTTCATGGCTCTATAATCAAGTGTAACAGATTCTTGAAAAAATAAACCAACCAAAGATTAAATAGGACTGTATTAATGGCCATTTATTGTTTTGCTGCTCTTTACTTTTGCCTTTGCTGCCTATTGTTCCTTGTCCCACTGATAAGGTTTTCATAAAATCCTAGTTAAAATGAATTGGGTTTTGGTGGCTTCACACTGTTGTCTGATTTGTGATGTTAACCTTAGCTCTGTGTTACAAGGTATTAAGCTACCTTTTGAATAGATAGGTGCTGTATTTTTAAGGACTAAAAAAGTCCTCACACACTATGAGGTATCTCCTTAGCTAATGAAGTGATTTCTCAAAAATTGTCCATCAGTGAGTGAGAAAGCTCACATCTCTGCTCCAGATTCTGCGGTATCTCTCAAATGGGTTTGGGTTCATTTGCTTATGTTAATATTCAGCAAAGATTGTTTCAGTGACTGACATTAACAACAGATAACATGTAATATTTTAGTAGTACTGACCTAGCTGGCTGAGACTATGGAGACTTTTGTGGCAAATCATGTAATTACCTAAGAATGCAAGGACTGCTCCTGGAACTGAGCACAGAGTAAATATATAACCAAATTAATTTTGTTTAGATTCTTTTTTTGCTCTGTTTTAGAACTGGTGCTCACTAGCCCATATGTTGTGCGAAGAACAGTCATGTACTGTGACGCTCTAATTCAAATCCCACATCCTCTCCTTCCCTTTATTTACCAATTAGTAACTAAACTTTCTGGTTCCAAATACTGATGAAAAAAATGTTTTCTTCCTCTGGGATGTGCTTTACTGAAGCAAGCCCCATTTGATATGATCCACCCTATTTCCAAGGAGAAATTCAAAACAAAGAGAAGTCAAATCAGTCATAACTTCCTGACCTGCCTGTGTACAGCTAAATTGACCTGTCAGATAAAATACAATATGTAGGCTTTCTCAGAGATCATGCTGCATAAAAGGAACTGCAGATGTAAAACCAATAAACTGCAAGATAAAAGTAGTTTGGGACAGGAAACACAGGGCCTGCTAACCTCATCTGTTTCGAGCCACAATCAAAAGCACTGTTGCCAAGCAAATTTCACAGCAATTAGGACTCCTGAATTCAGGTCTCATTTAGCTGGGGGAAGATGTGCTGACAACTTAAGTGGTGACAGGATTAGACCATGATTTGTTTATTTCAGTTAAAAGGTTTCTTATAGAGCTCTTGTCGAACAAATGTGAGGATGAATAAGCTAGCGTAAGGCACAGATAGGCACAGTTTATCTAATTGCCAAAAAAAGTATATGTTAGGGATTTTAGTTGCATGTTTTAAGAGCAGTTTTGCTAAGTGAGGTAGCAGCAGTATCAAGGGTATCTCATCCTGGCAACCATGTTGCCTCCACTGTACCTTTCAGACAATAAATACCAAACCAGAAACCCACAGTGAGTTTTTTTAGATTGCTGTGAGAATGGCTTTACCCTCGGTCACACGTCATTCATGTGTCACTGTGCCATTCAAAAGCTTTTTTTCTTAAGCTAAGGCTTTCTGAGAAGAGTCTGGATAGAAGCACTTTTTATTTCCGGACTCTGTAAAGCCTCCATTGTGATTTTCAGATGCTGTAACAGTTTGCAGTCATGCAAACTCCCATTTTCTTTTGTCAGTTACTCAGAAAGCTGGCGATGCTGGTGGCCATCAGAAGCACACTGCATTGCCTCAACTGATTAATGGGGTTTGGGATCCAGAAAGTATGCCCCTCTTCAGTGGCTCTACTGGAGAAGTCAGATTCTTGTCTTCACAAGGAAATCATTACCTCTGTTCACATTTATGAGAGGGATGCAGAGTCCTGCTTAAGTCTGTTATGAGCCTCTGCATCCAGAGCAACCTCATGGCCTAGCCATTAGACTCTGGCTAAGGGTTGCTACTGATTGTGAAAAGAAAACAGGCGTATCCTAGTTCTGTGCTCTGTTTGCTGTTTTATATGGTGATACTCGTAATGTGCTGTGCCTGCCGTCTGATTTGGAGCAACAACACCGACTGTGAGAGGCCTTGTGAATGCCATTTATCTGATTAATAGGTGGGAAGGGATGCTCTTTTTGCTCTACCTGCATAGAACTAAACTGTGTGCGGGAGATAGAGCAAAGTGTGGAATACAGCGAGGGCACAGTTAGCAGCAGTGAGGTAGGAGCAAACAAGAGCCCTTTTTCTTCATGGCCCTTTTGGATGGCTGGATTTGGGTATGCTTTCTTGCCTCTGTATTGTTTTAGCCTTTGCAGCAAAGTTCATTTAAACACTGGTGAGTGATTTAAGCAAGGCCTATCCTCACGTATAAAAACTAACAGTAACAAAGTATTTCTTCGGAAACACAAGAAATAAGAATAGACATGTGAAAAAAATGTTTACGGAGAGTTTTCATAAACTGTTCCCCTAAAGGGCAGGCGTGGGAGTAGCTCCCTGCTTTAGGTTCTGGATTGACTACATGCATCCTCATGCACTCAAGGGGATATTTAAGCAGGAGTAAGGGGCTATGCAGGTGCCATTCCAACACTGACCACCACAAAAGCTTTAAATTGCAAAATTCTATCAACTACTTGAATGTGTGTGAAATCCTTCACAGAGTTTACGGTCAGATTGTCCACTCCTACAACATGTTTGCATAAGTTCGTATTTCTCTTGGGATTAACTTCAGCCTCCTTCAGGAGGCTGGCCATCTGACGTACTGGTGTTCTACCTGCCTTATATCAAGAATGAATAAACGTTGTACTACATCTCATGGTACATTTTTAACCAGCATGGGCACATACTTGTGTATCTCAAACAGCCCCAGGGTGAATGCCCAAGAGCCTATTGCTACAGGGCTCCAAACGGTACCTTGCTTTTCTTATCCCATCCTCTCCTTTCACAGACCATTTAGTTTGTTTTTATGTGTTCCCTGAGGGCAATTTTAAATCTTCAGCTTCATTTGCTATATTAGACATTTGGAAGAGGGCTTTTTTTGTTGTTTCAAATAAAACTTTGCTGCCATGTGAGTACAGAGCCCATGTTCAAGGTGGAACATCTAATAGTCCTAATTATGTTCTCTTCATTAAACTGCATTAATGGAGCCAGCTGTTCCAGGAGCTTTGTTTATATTACCTACTTGTCTAATTGGATCAGTAAGGGTGCTTGCATTGGTGAACGGGTTTGGACCACTCTGCGGTAAAAGGAATGGAATCCTATTTTTCCAGTGAAAACATGCTGCAAACTTTAAATTAAGGTTAAAAAAATCATGTAGAGTTTCCTTAAAAAGAGCTACCACCCCCTTTTTCAAAGCTGAACTTGTTAAATAGGACTTATTCCTTAGAAAAGTAGGGAGATTACTCAGCCCTCAGTGACCATAGGAGCAGTTGCTGTCAGTTTAAGCGGAAAATATTCTGCCATGATACAAAGTACTCAGAAAGCTCTAGGTTAAAAAGCAAACAAGCACAGACAGACCTGCAGGCGCACAGACACTCAGGTCCAACACATGACCCTGGTGCCGTCAGCCTCCCAGTAGTCTGGAGCCAAGCTAATGCTTGTTATCTCTTTCTCTCACCCTAGAATAACCCGAGCAATAAATTGGTGAACACCAACAGCACCGTCACAGCGACACATATCAAGAAGTTCACTTTTGTTTGCATGGCATTGTCCTTAACGGTAAGAAACCTTTGTTCAACTCTGGCTTTCATCTCAGCTAGAAAATTATCTCTTCTACCTAACGCTAAAAGCACTAACAGTTCAAGAAAGGTGAGTTGTCTTTTCTTATGAAGCTCTGTTACTTTTATCTGGAGGAGGGAGCGTGATCATAGAACTGGAGTACTAAGAAAATCAGCTATCATTAACTCAGGCTAGATATCTTACGGGCTACAGTTATTTTATGTAATTCTCACTACTTTCCATTTCAAGTCAGCCTCCACATGCAAGGAGATCTGCTTTTCTTTTTTATTTATTTATATTTTTTTTTTAATGAACAAAACTTCTGGTAACCAGTGTGCCAGGAAAATGAAAAACTGTTTGTGCCATCTGCAGTGCGATGGCATCCTGTCCCTGGGCATCCTTCATCTGCTGCAAATGGTGGGACAGGCACCACATGTCGAAACTGCAGTAGCTGTTCCCTGCCGCCTCACATGGTGCTGGGCTTCCATGCTGGGAGTACTTTCGTGCGTGTTGGTTTTGTTCTCTCTCAAAATGAACTAAAAAGGGCTATTTTGGAGATGGTGCTGACGCTGAGAACGGGATCTAAAGCCTTGTCTGTGCTAGGAAACATTGGAAGGGCCTGGCATTCAGGGAGAAATTTTGCTGATCCTGCAGCATTTCAAAACAACCAGTTTGCACACCTGTGTACAGTGCATCTTCCCCAAGAAAACTGTTTCTGCACAAGTCTTTTTAGCAACAAACAGGCGGTTGTGGAAGAAAACTCATGCAGGTGGTGGGGATTGTAGCAAATAATGGAGCAGATGACCTGGGGTGAATCCGTGAATCCAACTTCTGTTTCTACATGGGATGGATTTACATTAGCACTTGGAGCTGGTGAAGCCACCCTCTTCCCACTTGGAGTGGACTTGCATTAGCAATCACACCTCTGTACGTGACAGTCATTAGGAGATTTGTGATCCATGCGTGGCGTCCTAAAGAGTCCTGGGCTGGCTTCTGGGCACCGCTAGGACCACCAGGGTCAGTCATGGCAGGGCCTGGCAGACAGGGCCTGTCCCTCCACCAGCCAGGAGCAGGGCAACCAGGAGGCACTGGGACAGCCCCAGCTCTGGCACTGGGCACCTCCCTGGGGACAGGGATGGGCAAACCAGGCTGGGACATGGGACATGTATGGGCGTGGCTCAGCAGGGCCCATGGCCATGCATGGCAGGCCAGCGAGGAACCAGAGAATGCTCCTGCCGCAGTGTCACTGGGGCAGGGGCTGATGGCCCCGGGGTCTGACATGGGATCCTAGGCCATAGGCAGGGTGGAGGGAGCCCTGGAGGGTGGGCAGGGATCATCAGAGTTGGCAGTGCCCATGGGGCTATGGCACCTTCTCTCCTTAGTACCTGCACTAGCAGGAAAAAAGCTAAGGAGAGCCTAGAGAGTAAGTTTCTCACAGAAAAAGTCCTTCCTCACACTAGAAAAGCAAGTGTGGGATGCTGCAATTGTTTTAGGATGCAGTGCTCAGAGTCCTAAAATTGAGTCTGCTCATACTCCAGACAGGTTTTCTCATTATCCCCAGCGGGGTTCCATTTCAAAGCTGGCTGCTTTGTAACTCTCCCCACATTCACAATTTTACTGTCGAGTAATGGAGAGCTGATTTAATTTCTCTCTCCCCTTCATTTTAGTGTAGAGCCTTTCTGACTGAGTTGCACATGGCCTGTGCATGAAGGGAAGCTAATTTACACCAAAGGAAACCTTACAGTACATAAGCCTGAAGTATTTGTAACCATCCCCACCCCCTTGTAATGACCTGGGAAAGTGGGATACGGTACTCTCTGTCTTCTTTTACAGTTGAAAATGAAACAACTCAATCCACTCATAGCTGATTTAGGAGATTTTTTTTCTGCTCTTTATTTTCTATACTTTTTCCCTAAATGGCTACAACTGGCCACCATCAAAGACAGAATTTCATGAGCCAATGTGGCATCTTTTCTATTAATTTCTAGACTTAAGCTTGAACTTTTTTCATGTGGCTTAGAGACCAACAGCTCTGCCTCTAACTTGTATGTCCTACAGCATGTAACAGGGATGGACATATGCGTCCACTGAATTGGCAGTTATCTGGAGACTTTCCACAGCTTTCGTGTTATCTACTGTCACACACCTCGAGGTGTTCCCTTGTGTGCTGTGCCAGGCAAAGGTTATGGTCTCTCCAGCTGAAGCCTCCCTTGAAGTCTGTCAGTATTGTTAAAGACCCACGAAGGGGACAGCTTTTGTCTTTATAAATTGTTCTGAGAATACTATTTCAGTCTCAACGCTTTCTCTTGACTGACTGTTTTCTTAACCCTTCTGGGCATTTGTCAGCTAGCTCAAGTTCTGATGGATCATGAGCTTCTCACATTATCATCACAATCCTCTGCAGAGTGATTTTTAATTACTGCAATAGGCTTTTGGTTTGTAACTTTACAGGTTTGGTTTTTTTCCAAAGTTCTCCATAGTACTTTCAAGGGCAGTTCTTTCATAAGCTCATCATGAGAGACTTGTCCGCACTGAAATTCCAGAAACGCTTTTGAGGTCCATAGCTTTTCCTGTCCTCTTTCTAATTTTGCCTACTAGTGACAGATTCTTAGGATTGCTTGTCAGTGGACAGAGCGGAAAATAGCCACATGAGCTTTAAAGACTCAGTTTGGTTTGGGGGCCTGAGCCTGCAAATGCTTCAGCACATAAGCTCAGTAGACGTCGGTGTGACATATGACTCAAGTTATTACGTGCCACAGGTTCTAAGGAACTTGACTTCAAATTTGCTTCTGTTGCAGCCAGATCAGATGGCCACTGTAACTGAGATACCATGGTCATCAGTGGTTGCTGTGTTTTTCTGGAGAGGATCTGCTGCAACGAATGGCAGTCAGGCTAGTGGCATCACCATAGGTAACATCTTGTGCTTCGGGGTCAGAGTGAAAGTGGGAGACAGGCTCCCAGGCTGACCAAGAGATCAAAGCAAGTCAAATAGTTAGACATGTCATGTGAATCCATTCTGCAGTGGATGATCTATAGAAGGATTCCAGAAAATGGAAAGATCAAGGAGGTCTGTTAACCACTGCCAAAAAATCCAGTGACACGTTTAATATGAGCAGCAGCCATGCAAGAAAGTACCCTCCCAGTATAAAATTAGGGGAAACCTCTCAATCATTGAAGACATGCTATTTCATAGAGTTGGAAAAAAAATGTCCTACCTCCTTTCACAGACCAGTCACACCTGCACAAGAAGTACTGTAAACCTACTACTACAGTAGCACTTTTTCACCCTTGTTGGTAGTGTCAGTATTGGGTCAGAATAGAAGAAAAGGCGTAGTTCTGTTATTTTCACATAATTTTACGTTATTTTCACGTTATGTTCATGTAATTTTGTGGGTTTTTTTAATCTTCATGGAATCTAAAGGGCTGCACTTGAGCCTTCCCAGGGTGACTGGGCAGCATGTAAATGCGTTTTGCTGAGTGTAATCATAAGTACAGTCTCATGGCTTTGAAGAATCAGGCGAGTATTAAAGCTGCTTCTTCAAAAAATGAGAATTAGTTGTATTGCTAAGTGAAAAATGTGTAGAGAAGCTGTTTTATTTAAAAGCTGTAAATAGAAGCCATTAGACTCCCAATATGTAAGAGATCTGATGTGATTAGTCATATTGATGTGATTTTGGTTGTAAGTGGTAACTCCTTCCAACAGCCCTGTTTTGTGGCTGTGTAACTGAATGTAAATTTATATAGCAAGGGGGAAGGACTCAGCTGAAGAATTTTGCCCATACAATTAAGGGACTGGTTCAGGTTTTAGAAAATAAGGCATGCTTGATAATTTATCTTCAGCTTAAAGAGCATATGTGATGCTGTTTGCTGTTATTTGGTACTTCATTGCCCTTAGGCACTTCAGGCAAGCTTCTTTCTGTATGTAAGTAGAGGTACTGCTCCAAATGCCAGTCTTGCTGCCGTTGCTAGATAATGCTGTTGAAGAACTAAACATTTTGGTTCAATGCTAGACCTGTTCAGATGACTCTAAAAACCAGCCTTCTGGTCTTTGCACATAAGTGAAGACGCAGACTCCCAAGAAAGAAAACTGGTGCATTTATAGCACACGTCCCTTTCATTGTGGGCTGTGTCAGCCTCAGTACAGTGCAGAAATCCCAAAATAATTTGTCTGGGTGCTAAATTCTCCATTGCAGCAAAGGTTTCCTCTGTCACAGGAGAGCATTCGCTCGCTCATGAGCTGTGCGTAGAGGAACATGCTGTGCGAGGAGTGAGCCACTCAAGGGAACCCTGCCTTACCCAGCAGGAGTAACAGCAAGTACATTGCTCTTCAGCAGGAGCTTTTCTCAAAATAGCAGTGGTGTCTTTGAGCTCAGACACTACAGTGCAGAGTTCAGGGGTTTTCCAAGGCAGCATGAAGGGCACAGCTCACAGCTGCTGCCAAATTACCTTCCTTCCTTTCTTCCTTCCTTTCTTCCTTCCTTCCTTTCTTCTTTTTTTCTTTCTTGCTTTCTTCCTTTCTTTCCTTTCTACCTTCTTGCTTTCCTTCCTTCTTGCTTTCTTTCTTGCTTGCTTTCTTTCCTTCTTTCCTCCTTACTTTCTTGCTTTCTGGCTTTTTCTTTCTTGCTTTCTTGCTTTTTTTTTTTTATTATTATGTCCTCTGCATTTCCCACTTGAGCTTTTCCTTGAGTCTTCTATGATGACACAGAAGTTGCAGTCAGTTAAGATCCTTTTCCCTGGCTAATGTTAGCTGCTGGCAGCCACGTGGTTAGCATTTGGTCATCTGCCTTTGAGCTGCAAGGCTTCCCAGGCTGATAGCATGTCATTTAGTGCCCACTACATGAAAATGATGAGCAGAGGGCTCCTTTGGGAGGGCACAAGCTCCTTTGCTGCATTTGCTGCTGCCCACTCCACGTGACGGTCACAGCCATGCCCTCACGGACACATCTGTGTGTGAACCCTGGGCAAGTCAGTGAAGTTGCAGACCCTGAGCTCTGCAAGCA